GTGATTTGTGTAAAGGTTAAATAAAGGAACCATTTTCCATGCTTTCATGTGTAAAGAGCTTTTTGGGCTAGACCTCTATTTTATAGATCAAACGGCACACGGCACTAGGTAGGTACTGTGGTCAACAGCACGCCAGCTGTCTTTACTTCCCATTTAGGGCTGGGTCAACCTGGGGGCCAAGACCATTTTTTGAAAAAGTCCAGCTCTGCCGGGAGCTGAACCCACAACCTTTGGATCCGCAGGCGGGCATCTAGCTGCTACAACATGGCAGCTCTAAACTTGTTTAATACACAGTAATAAATATATACAGATTTAAGCAATAATACAGGCTGTCTTTAAAGTCTGTGGTGTAGGAGATGGGGAGGGGAGTTTTGACCGGGGGGTTTAAGACTGCTTGGCTAGTGCAGTTGCCAACAACTGTGCAGGTTAGGATTTTTTTTTTGGAAACCCTATGTGGATTCCAGGGTCCCATTGTGGGGAAATAAGAATGGACTCCCTGCCTCCACCACAAGCATGTTGTTGGCTCAACTAATTGGGGACATCCTTTGAAGTCAGATTACATCTGCATGAGAGGCAAGGAACTAAGAGACTGCACACAAAAAATCTAGATCTGTGAAATGGATGTGCACAAAACACTCAGCTTCTGGAAAAAGACTCAAGTCTGGAGGTAGACGAACACCCATAACCGTTCACCAGAGTTTACAGCCGGTGAACGTGAAAAAGAAGATTTTCCTTTTTTTCCAGTGTCAGACAAAATCCGCCACCTTACCAAGTCTTTGAACCTGGGTTGCCAGAGTGACAGCCCAGCATTCCTAACCAGTCCTCTAGCAATAATAAAAGTATCAAACAAAATACTCTTTGTTGTTCTTCCTTATCAGTAATTGTTTGTGTACATGCATATTTCAATATGGATCACTAACATAATGGTGGTCAGAGGCCCTCAATCATCCACAACTTTTGTGCAGGTTTCTGCTCAGGTGTTTCATGGTTTCTGAGGTTCATTTAGTGAAGGCGGTAACATCTGAAGATTTTTGTATGAAGATGTCAAACAATTTAGGAATAAAGTCTACTTCCTGTTGTCATAGTTAATAACTTTTTCTGCCAAAGGTAGAATTTTTATGAATGCAGCGCATTCAGGACCGCTAACTCCAATATCCTACCCCAAACAGGGAAAATCCACAGGTCAAGGGACAGTCTAATATATCAGTGGGTGGTAGATAGGCTGCATGCAGTCGTGGGACCTAGGCAGCGGGCATTCGTGGGACCTAGGCTGCACTCTCTCGTGAGACGTAGGTGGGTTGGGGTTAGGGCCAGTTTTATTTGTTTTGGGGTCGTTAACAGCATCAGAAAGCCGGGAAACATAGTCTTACCATCTTCCAAAATGTTGGACTGTCCTGTGACATAATCTGGGGTAAGATATTAATAAAGAACAGACCTCCCTAACTACTCTCAAAAGAAGTTGGACATTCGGCCCGGCTGAGTCCCATTGCAAGAAAAGCTGTCAGGGATCAGCGGCAGCAACCTTAGACGCATAGCACTGTTTGTGACTCACATGAGACTGAACATTTAGTATGGTTTATACCAAACTCAGAACAAGAAGAAGAAGCCAAAGGAATTGTTATTTTAAGGTACTAACAGCTGGGCCTGTAACTGAAGCAGTAAATGCTTCAGACAAAACACATGCAAAAGTGAAGAAGTAATCGTAACATATGCACTTAATGCAGCAAATGGGATGCTGTGTGTAAAAGCAATCTCTCATCGGTGACAGAAGGTTGCAGTTCTTCAAGAGCTGCAAAAATTATATATACTTTAATGCAAAATTAAGAAATTCACATGATATAAAAATAACAGAGGTATTTATTCATTAAGTAATTCTATAAATATCCCATCATTAAGTATATTTATTCATATATATTTGAAGTGTAGAATTAAGTACACACAATTTTATTATCTATAATCTTCTAAAGAAGAAGGTAAAAGTATAGATTCAATTACCTTTCCATCGAGCCACACAGGGTATATACGTATGGTTTCTATCTTGTAAGTTCAAGACCAATTCACCCATCGGCGGACCGATTAGCGGCTTGGTCACCAATGCATCTCCCATAAGGATAGGCCCTCAACTAACAAAGTCAGGCCCTCAACTAACAAACAAAGTCCTTGAAGACTTCTTCATGACTGGCTGGATTTTGCTACTCAATTTTTTAATTAGCTGAGGTAGTCAGCCTCATGCTAAGCTTTCTAAAATATCTCTTAAATGCATGGTAATTTAGTTTGCCTTTTATTTTCCATCCTGAAAAGCTTAGTAAAGCAAGTAGAAGAGCTAACTGCTTAGGATAAACAAGATGAAGCCATTACTTTGGTGGTTTCCAATCATAGCACCTCTACCTCTGTTATATTCTCATTCTTTCCAAAAGGAATTCTCATATAGCATAGTCTGTATTGCCTCAGCATACTGTCCACGAGCTGCAGTAAAAATACATTTTAAAAATGTCTTCCAAAATGTCTACCCAGAGGGACCTTGCAAAACCGGCACACGAGAAAACATAACAGCACAGAGAAATTCTACATCAAAAACATGTGTAACAGTCAAAGGTACAAGCAGACACCATGCCAGCTGCTGCAGCTCAATTGTGAAACATCAGGTCTACTATATTTCTGACCTTGTCCTACTAAGGTCAAGTGTCTAGTTAAATTCTTTGCACCATTTTCTTCTAAACAATTCCCAGAAAATTATCCCGAGGCTGGTCCCACCCTCAGTAAAATAAATATATACTTAACACAAAAAATATAAAACTGATTCAATTTGTTCATGGAAGACAAACAAGTATTGCTATACGCAGGAAAAATGCTAGATTGTAAATAAAATTGCAGACATAAACAAAACAACTATATATAATATCTTTAGCAGTTTAGTCAAACCACCCAAATCAAGCAAAAACTGAAGAGGTAACTCAATAAATGCACTGGCCAAATAATGATGCTGCACACTGGGGAAAAAACAAAGTACTGCATCATGAAGATTTAAACTTGCACAGTCATCAGTGTTCAGTTTGCAAATCAAGGAACAAAACATGGCTGTCAGTGACAGATAACTCTAAAAAGAAATTTACAAGTGAATTCAAAAAAAAAGAAACAATACTGCCCCATGGGTGAGGGATTTAATGTCATAATAGCAATGTGGTTATTTATTTTTGTCTTATTCTTTTCTCCAGCCACTCCAGTGAAATGTTTCCTTTCAATTGAAAACTAAAAAACAGCTGGTTTTTATAATGGCTTCTGAGTTTGAACAAAATTAATATTTATTCATGTTAAAAACATGAATAAATATGAATTTTGTTTAAACTCAGAAGCCATTAAAAAAAATCATCTGTCTGCTTTACCAGAAAGCAGTTAGCCAATGTGAGGCAACATTTATATTTCTGTATGATCATTCCCACTTCCACTTCCGCAGCCCCAATGAACTGGGAAAAAGGGATGGGGGAAAGAGGAGGGGGAGAACACAAAGGTGATGATCAACCAATCATCACTTAGTGGGAGGTCAGCACTCGCAGCGTGAAAATGAATGAAATTACCCAAAGGTTAAGAATGTGAAAAATTCTATCCCAAGGGTATAAGACAGTTCCCAGCATCCACTGGCACTGTGGTTCAGTGCGAGTGGATGCTGGGAACTGTCTTATCAGCTCTCAAAATATTAACTTTCTGTCCCATACATTTAATGCTTTTCTTATTTCATTCTTCTTCTTCTTCGTGTTCACCAGCTGTAAACTCTGGCAGAAAGTTTTGGTTGTTCATCCACTTCTGGACTGCAGTCCTGTTCCAGAACCTGAGTGTTGTGTGTGCATCCGTTTTACAGATCAGACTGCTGGTTCCTTGACTCTCAGGCAGATGCACTCTGACTTCAAAGGAAGCTCCCAATTAGTTGACTCTTACAACATGCTTTTTGGGTAGGCAGTGGGTCTACTCTTGTTTTCTTTATAATAGGGTCACGGAACCCACACAGGGTTTATTTCATTCTAAAAAGTAATACCTGAAAACATTCCATAGGAAATATTAAAAAGAAACAACAACAAAAAAACAAGAAAAGAAACTTGAAGAATTAAAAACTGAGACACTAAGGAACAGAACTGAAACAAACAACTGAGACCCTGTGTGGGTTCCGGGGCCCTATTTTAGGAAAAACAAGAATAGACCCACTGCCTACCCAAAAACATGTCATAAGAGTAGACTAACTGGGAGCTTCCTTCGAAGTCAGAGTGCATCTGCCTGAGAGGCAAGGAACCAACAGTCTGCAAACAAATTTGTCAGATCTGTCAAACGGCTGCACACTCGACACTCATGTTCTGGAACAGGACTGCAGACCAGAAGTGGATGAGCAACCAGAACTCTCCACCAGAGTTTACAGCTGGTGAATGCAAAGAAGAAGAAGAATTGAGAACCCCTGTTTGGGTTCTGGGACCCCACTGTGGGAACAACAAGAATAGATCCACTGCCTCCCCCAACAAGCATGTCGTACTGGTCGACTAATTGAGGGCATTCTTCAAAGTCGGAGTACATCAGCCTGAGAACCAAGTCTGCATACAAATAAGCCAGATGTGTGAAATGGATGAGCATGCAGTACTCAGGTTCTGAAACAAGACTTAAGTCTGGAAGTGGACAAAATCCCAGAGCTTTGCGCCAGAGATTAGTCGATGAATGCGAAGAGGAAGAAGAATAAAACAAACTTAGATAGAATGAGTTAATATAGCAACTCCAGGATCGAATACAGCAAGAACAGTATACAATTTTCGGAGTTATACCAAGAAATATATTGTGAGTTTTTTGTGTGTTGGTAATTAGAGTATTTAATAATAAAACATTATTAACCTCTTTAATACTAACAAAAGCACCGTGTATATGTATGTGTGGGGGAAGGGGGGGATGCTATGCACATAACCTAGTGGCCAATGATGTTTGCATGGTGAGAGTAGTGTAGCCTCAAAAATTATAAGAACTAAGATTCAGAACATCAGCTGTTCAGGACGATGCTGCTGGTTTACAAAGTGTAAGTGGAAGTCATTTCTGTCCGCACAGATCTTCAAACAGATGCTGCACTGCCAGGGACTGAGCTCTCCGTGCAACGATTTATGCAAGAAGTACAAGCCCCGCTCCTCAAAGCTGATTCTGCAGTGCTGGCAGCGGTACAGCCGACCCTGAGATTCGTAGTAGATGAGCAGATCCTCAAGAGAAGGCAGCTCACCCTGCAGGCTGGTGCTGTTGTACTGGGTACCAACATCCTTAGTCACCTGCAAGGACAACAAAGCAAGCCATTCACGTCAACTTTTGTAGGTCGAATCGACCCTCTCACAGAGGTCGTCAAAGACCATAGGAAAACACATATTCACTGTTGTTATAAAGTAGCAACGAAAATAATTTGGTTGGGAGAACTGTATTAAAGGGTGTCCACATTATACAGGTTGAGGACCACTATTTCATAGCTTCTAAATGTGTTCAAAGGAAGAAGATATAGATGGCCTGGATATATCTGCAGAATGCCTCGTGACACTCTGGCAAGGACAGCTTGCCAGAAGAAGGCAAACGAAAAAAGGCAACGCAGACGACCTTGGGAGACCCACAGAAGGACAGTCATCATCATGTAGCAGGTCTTTTGCAGAACATCGCTCTCATCACGATCTGCTTAAAAGAAACTCGGTCTTTCACCTGCTCTCCCACCTCATGTACTTTCATACTCAAGTAGTCACATATATCCTGTGCCCATCTTCATGTTGGTAAGCCTCTGCCCCTCCTTCCAGATACCATGCCTTCCCAGGACAGTAGAAAAGAAAAGAAAAAAATGTAAAATGACATAGGATACCAAACACAGAAAAGCAACAGACCAACACCACTTGTGAACGCCTTATGTGTCAAATGCACATCTTTTTTTTTTTTTAAAGTTTTGTTGTTGTTGTTATTTATATACATAATGCTAACAGGAAGCTAAGGTTAGTTAAGAAATAATATTCTTCCTGTGTTGGTTCTAGGGGACAAAGGAACAGATCCCTCAACATTTCTAACTATGATACTTTTGATAAAGACAAATGCCCACACTAATGGGACAATTTTATCAGAGATCAGATATTTAAAGTGATGTAATCATAGGTAGGATTGCATCATCAACTTCTAGTTATATTTTTATTGGTCACTGGAAAGAAATATGCAGCTGGCCACACGGCACATAATATTTTTTAACTGATCGTAATTAAACAAACTAGCAGCATTTATCTTGAAAACTAGAGCCAATCAACATTTTTTTTAATGTCCTTTTCATTTTCAGCTGACCAAAGTTAATCAGCTATTTTCATTTCTGGTACATTTTGGTTATTGATTAGTGTCATCTAAAAAGTCTTGAAGGAAAATGGCTCACCAAGAGAAATGGTTATTTTCTTCTTTTCCTTCTTGATGTTCACCAGCTGTAAACTCTGGCAGAAAGTTCTGGTTGTTCATCCACTTTTGGACTGCATTCTTGTTCCAGAGCCTGAGTGTTGTGTGTGCATCCATTATACAGATCTGACTCATTTGTATGCAGACTGCTGGTTCCTTGCCTCTCAGGCAGATGCACTCTGACTTCAAAGGAGGCTCCCAATTAGTCGACTCTTACGACATGCTTTTGTTTAGGCAGTGGGTCTTTCTTTTTTTCCCCCCATAATAGGGCCCCGGAACCCACACGGGGAATCTTCTTCTTTTGTCATTCTGCTTTTGCCGTAAAGTATCGCAGAGTGGAGTTAGATGTAGTTTCCTGTCTTTTACTAGTTGCTTAGCTCGTGTTAATGTCATAACGCATTTCTGTCGTCCCTCTTTCACTCCCTCCATCCATCCCTGTCTTGGTCTTTCTGATGTTTGTAGTGAGTTGTCTTCTAGCACACGCCTGTTTCATCTAGCACACGCCTGTTTCATCTAGCACACGCCTGTTTCATCTAGCACACGCCTGTTTCATCTAGCACACGCCTGTTTCATCTAGCACACGCCTGTTTCATCTAGCACACGCCTGTTTCATCTAGCACACGCCTGTTTCATCTAGCACACGCCTGTTTCATCTAGCACACGCCTGTTTCATCTAGCACACGCCTGTTTCATCTAGCACACGCATGTTTCATCTAGCACACGCCTGTTTCATCTAGCACACGCCTGTTTCATCTAGCACACGCCGCCTGTTTCATCTAGCACACGCCTGTTTCATCTAGCACACGCCTGTTTCATCTAGCACACGCCTGTTTCATCTAGCACACGCCTGTTTCATCTAGCACACGCCTGTTTCATCTAGCACACGCATGTTTCATCTAGCACACGCCTGTTTTCATCTAGCACACGCCTGTTTCATCTAGCACACGCCTGTTTCATCTAGCACACGCCTGTTTCATCTAGCACACGCCTGTTTCATCTAGCACACGCCTGTTTCATCTAGCACACGCCTGTTTCATCTAGCACACGCCTGTTTCATCTAGCACACGCCTGTTTCAAAACATCTGAGTTTCTCTTCTGAGCTGTCCAAGGGATTCTAAGGATTCTTCTGTAAAACCACATCTCCAAGGCTTCAAGATATTGTTTGGCTTGTTAATTAATTATCCAGAATTCACAGCCGTATGTTAAAAAGTGGCTCTATATAGCTTGCGAAAATTCTTTTCCTAACCTCCAATGATATGGATTTATTGCACAACATTTCTTCATTTGATAAAATGCAGTTTTGGCTTGCCCCATTCTGTTCTTTATCTCTGTGATACATCTTCCATCAGATGTTATCCATGTGCCCAGATGCTTAAATTTTTGTACTTGTCCTAAAATAACGCCTTTGGCTCTTATTACACATTTAGGCATTATTCTTTTCTTGGAAATTACCATTCCTTCTGTCTTCCCATTATTCAAACTCAGGCCCATTTTATCACTTTCTACAACTACTGTATCTATCTATTCCTGTAGTTCTTTCTTTCTTGTCGCTATGAAGATGAAAAAATAGATATAAATAACTGGATGGCTTGGCCCAATGTATGGGGTGGGACAAAAGCACAGACTGGACCTGTGATTCTGACGATCACGTGGGATGACATCACAACTTATTTGCACGGCACAGGTTTATGATTATAAAATTCACTTACCTTTGGTCTTGAGATTTTCACATGCAACTCTGGAATCTCTTGTGACCTGTGAACTAAGCCTTGAAGTGTTGAGAAGAACTCTGAAAGGTTGCTGGTTGAGTCAGCGATGGATCGAACATGCTCTGAGGTGCAGCCACCTTGCCTGATAGTGCCCAGAGGACTCATGGAACCCACTGAGTTTGTCCTGCGATTGGGCTGCTGAAATCTGGCAGCATTCATTCCAGTGTGAAATTTACTCACATGAGAATCTGTGTATGAAATCTGCGATAAGTCTTTATGACCTGCGATGACCGAAAGTGGACTGCCTTGTTCTGCCTCAGATGGGTTAGAATAAGAGCGTCCCAGTGTGGCTGAAAATGGTGGAAGCCGCTGATTTGATCCACGTGAGGGTGCACTGACTAAAGACGAGTTGCCGATGGTTGAGGTAGGAGAACCGTGATTAAAATGGTGGTCTCGTGAAGATGGAGAAGCTGGGGGAAAATTAGATGACTGCCGACGATATTTAACGCCCCCCGGCGAGAGAGGCTCCTGTTTGACCTGAAACCCGTCACTTCCCTGAAGACCTTGACCCCTTGATGCTAACTGAGAGCAGATTGAATCAATTCTGCGCATGGCATCTGAGTCCATGTTGAGAGACAGATGGTGTCCTGGGGACTTGTCCGGGGAGGTCAATGTTGGACTAGGCAATGACATGATAGCCTGGTGATGATATAAAACCAATCAGAGAGATTCTTGTCCTAAATTGTGCATAAATTAAAATGAATGAAACAAAAGTTACCTTAGCTCTAGCGTAAATAAAACCAATCTGAGAGATTCTGCATTAAATGTGAATTAATCAAAATGACCAAAACAAAAGATTACTTCAACTTATTCAATGTCAAGCCGTTGTTGCTGGATTTCAATTAACAATCCATTGGACATATGGAGTTAAAGAATCAACAGCGACTTGATACAAAGAGTTGCTTAACTAGCACCTTTCTGTCTTCCCAAACAACAGTTTTATACTGTGCTATGAAGAGGCATGGGACTCACAGTCCATGGCAATGGCGAGTGTCAGTAGCAAGACCTGCCCGCATTAAGAAAATTATAGCTAGAATTTCAGGACCACCTTGACAACATTTGTGTTAGCGTGTTTCTTCTCAGACGCTCAGCTCGAATCCTTTCTGCAGTCACTTCTTCCTTCATTCTCATTCCCTTCCTGATGTGCCCCCCCCCACAAACACACACACACACAACACGGCCCATGGGATCTTGTTCCAAGTTCACCTCAAAACCTGTAACAATCACGTCCCGTTTGCACAGATCTTTATATCTTACTAGAGGTCGGCCTCGACATCTTCTAACCATCGTTAATTATACAAAGAGTTCAGAAAGGCATGTATGGTATAAGGCTACCAATAACTCATGATGAGTTACTTGGTACCAAATGAGTTAAAGGCAGTATTACTTTTGTAAGAAAACTCTTGGTTCCTCACCTATCCAATTTCAAAGTAAACCCCTAATCGGTCGACTTGTACGGCACGCTAGTTGGGGGTAGTGGGTCTATTCCTGTCTTTTTTTTTTTTTTTTTTACCAATATCTGCTTATGCCGCTAGGCGTCGCAGTTGATCAGACGATCGGCAGCCGATTCAGGGCGCACTCAATCGCTTGATATGCCCAGATGTTTTGCAGTCTCAAGGTGTCAGCGACTCCTTCAGTCCATTTTCTTCTCGGTCTTCCCCTGTCTCTTGATGTTTTGATTTTCAGGTCGTACGCTCTTGCTGCTGGCATCGTTGGCTTCATTCTCATTAGACAGCAAAACCATTTTATTCTTTTTTTTTCCCAATAAATTTGATGATGGGTGATGTTCCAACAGTTCTTGTGATTCTATTCCTGTTGAAGTTGAATAACATACTGGTAACTCATTGGTTGGGACATTTTTTTAAAAAACACTTTGCCATGAAAAGGCTAAATCTAGTCACTTCCAGTGGAGAGACAGCCATGTAAATGCCGATATTTGGCCATTTCTGCAGTGACATTTTCTCAAAAAGCATAGTTAAACCCATTTAGGGTTCGATCGCAGCTGTGGGCTATGCGCCTTGCATTGGTTTCAACAGTGGTAACAAGAAAGCCGACCGTCCAGAAAGCAATGGCAAACTACTGGACGTAAATTTGCCTAGAAAAACCACACAACAGCCAGGGGTTGTTGGGGTTGGTTCTGCAACGTCCTGTAAAGGATACGCAACTAACCTTCCTAAACCCATTTATGCGCCTACATAGTTTTTTAGGAGGCCAAGATGTAATACATTAACTAAATATAGCATTGAGAGGGGGTTTCGTTTCAGGTGTGCCGCGATAATCTGTTAAGGGCCTGCCAACTGATGATGATGATGATGTAGTACATCAATTTTTTTAGAACTGCAAGATCCTTGAGTTCTTTAGAATGTCAACAACAAAAATCCACAAAAAAGCTGTTAAATGTTATACATCAAATACTTATGGTCATGTCCAATGTGCAAAGATAAGATGATCTCAGAAATGAACAACAAAAAGTCCTCCTTACCTGAGAAGGTGGGTCTCCGCTATCACTGTCAAAACTTGAAGAGTGCCGACGTGTGTCATAGGTCAGCAGCTTGTGGCTCTCCTGAAGGTGCTGGTTCAGAGCCTCGACATTGGTGGCAGTAAAGGGGCACTGACTGGGAGCACAGAATCAACAAAACAGTAACAGGTAAATAAAGAGAAACAGTCACCGCATTTGTTTTCAACTTCTCAATCTCCATGAGATGAACGGAGAACACAGAATCAAGAGAACTCAACATAGAAATTACTTAATCATTTACATTATCTTCCTTTTTCACGTTCACACAGATTAGTGATCCTAGGTGAGGGGCATTCAGAAAGTAATGCTCCATATTTTATTTCTCGCAAACTGTGTGAGCAAAATGTATGATGGTCATTGTCAAAATAAATCATTACGCCCTAACCACATGCCACTTTTCTATACTATCGCCATCCACTTCTATGACCTTACACCACTACAAAGCAAGGGCATACACACCTTGCCTAAATCAGAGTTTGTACTGTTCATGCTGCTAATTCTTACAGTATGAATAACATGCCCTGTCCCACCTATTCCATTTCAGATGTTGTTATTGCTTCCATTAGGTAGCTGGTGTTTGGTTTTCATCTTGAAAAGGTCACGGGTGGTGAGCATTCTTTGGATCTTTTCTCCAGGCTATGCCGGCGTGGTGGATAATGAACAGGCAGACAGATTGCCTGGATCCGCACCACTGGGTGGTGAACTGATACATGACAGGGCAGATGTGGTCAAGGCCATTTGGGAACAAGCAACAGAATCAGTAGAGAAAGAAGAATATTATGGTCTGGAGAGAATGAGGCACCTGGGTGTAACCAGAGGGTCTGGCCGGCTCACTACACTCAGAGGAAAGGCAAGACGGACTTTTAACCAGATTGTGACCGGTACCATCAGTATCGAAACTCTGCGCTGGCTGCTGAAGATGAGGATGGAGCATGCATGGGAATGCCCAGAGTTCTGTGATGTCAATTCTTGACTCAACTCTGGTATTCTTCTTTGATCCTTCTGTCACAAAATTTGTACCAGGAGGCCAGCAGCCTTGATGAAAACTGTCGTGCAGTTTATATCTCCTGGTGTACCACACAGCTCTTCACTGAGGTTGGCACAGGCCAAATTGCTTCTCTGATTGTGCAGTCCATATCTCCCCATGTGCCACACAGCTTTGTCTTCTCTGATCGTGCAGTCCATATCTCCCGGTGTACCACACAGCTTTGTCTTCTCTGGTTGTGCAGTCCATATCTCTCCATGTGCCACACAGCTTTGTCTTCTCTGGTTGTGCAGTCCATATCTCCCCATGTACCACACAGCTTTGTCTTCACTGGTTGTGCAGTCCATATCTCCCGGTGTACCACACAGCTTTGTCTTCTCTGATCGTGCAGTCCATATCTCCCGGTGTACCACACAGCTTTGTCTTCTCTGGTTGTGCAGTCCATATCTCTCCATGTGCCACACAGCTTTGTCTTCTCTGGTTGTGCAGTCCATATCTCCCCATGTACCACACAGCTTTGTCTTCACTGGTTGTGCAGTCCATATCTCCCGGTGTACCACACAGCTTTGTCTTCTCTGATCGTGCAGTCCATATCTCCCGGTGTACCACACAGCTTTGTCTTCTCTGGTTGTGCAGTCCATATCTCCCCATGTACCACACAGCTCTTCACTGAGGTTGGCACAGGTCTTCTTCTTCTTCTTTCGTTCACCTGAAATAAGTTGTCTATATCAGCATATTTTTCTCTTGTATAAATTAGACTGTCGTTGTTTGTTCATTCAGTGGTCCATAGAGTTTACGTTCCACTGTTGTTCTTTCTGGCCAAAAGGTTTGCCTTAATGTGTCAAAATCGGTGCAGTCCTGGAGTACATGCTCTGCTGTCTGGGGCACATTTCCACAGGTGCACATAGCTGATACACCTATCTTGAATTTTGTGTACATGTGGTTACGTAATCGGTTGTGCCCTGTTCTGAGGCGGAGGATAATGACTTGTTCTGGTCTGTCTATAATAAAATAGTCGTCTTGTGCTGGGGCTGGTGGTTTCCTGATCGATTTAATGATTCTTTTCTTCTGGTGGTATGTGACTGGTACATCCGGCTGCTCTTTTGTCGCACCTTCCCCTGCCAGTTGATCAGCTTTCTCATTTCCAGGCACTCCACAATGAGACGGTATCCACTGCATTACAACTCTTCGCTGAACGCTGAGTTGTGTCAGCAGTGTTTGCAATTCTGGTAGTTTCCTAGACTGGAGTGCTTCAAGTACTGATTTAGCATCTGTCAGCATTACCACATACTGTGAGCCAAGGTTGGTATTTAGCAGTTTCTCTGTAGCTATCTTGACAGCCTGGGTTTCTGCATCGTAGTTATGGCAGTACTTCCCGGTTGGTACGCTGGACTTATCCCTAGTACCATCTGGGAATTCGATGTACACTCCAGCACCACCATTTCTAACTGCACTTTCTGCGGACCCATTGTTCTTGTGGGTATTCTTCATCAATATAACTGAGGGTGGCCATTCTGCGTTGTACACTATCTTGCTCTTTCTTGTCAAATATCCCTTTCACATTTGTCTGGATTTGTACCGTTAGTTTACATTTTTCTCTCCATGGGGTTTGTTCCGGAATACTTTTAAGTGGGCAACCAATTTCTGGAAGGTCAGGAGTTATGTCTACATATTCTTTTTGCTTGGTGTATAAAGCTGCTTCTTTTTAACCGTCCCAAGGCTAGGTTCTTAAATCTATTTTCCATCGGGTGATCTGGCATACTGAGGAACTTTTCAGCTTGTATTTGCAACTTTGTATCTCTGCGTTCTCTCAGTGCCTGTGTTTTTCCAGCTTTCTCCATTTCTAATATGAGGGTTGATTTCATCCCTTCTGTGATGACTCTGAGCGCTTGATTTTGCACTTTGTCTAACTCCTTTAATGTGGTACTAGATGCTGAACACCATGCAGTTGACCCATATTCCAAGTGTGGAAGTATGCTCTGCTTGTATAATTTATTTAGTATTTTCCCATCGGCTCCCCATGTAGTTCTACTTACTTTTCTTAGTTTTGCTGTCTTCCTCCTGGCTTTGGTTGCTGCCTTGTTGATATGTTTTCTCCATGTCAACCTGTCATCAAATGCGACTCCTAGGTATGTGGGCTCTTTATCATCTCTCAGGGGTATTCCGTTTATTTTAATGGTGCCGGCTTTTTGCTTTGGGGAGAGGGTTGGCACAGGTCAAATTGCTTCTCTGATGGCAGCATGTGACCTTCTGGAATTAGTCTATACACATAACTGCAAATAAATGTACACACAACGCATCACCTGCATGATAGCATATTTGTTGTTGGATGTAAGTAAGTAAAGGTCCCTTTTCCACGCCTTTAGGCGTATAGGGCATATAGGGCTAGACCCATATTTTATAGACCAAACGGCACAAGATGGGTGATGTGGTCTGCATCACGCCGGCCGCCTTTACTTCCCGGGACTGCACCTGGTACCCACTTATGATGATGACATTATTGTTATTATTATTCATATTAGGTAGCAGATGTGTCCTTCTGGAACTTGTCTACAGACACACTTCCATGCATGCACAAACAAGTGCTCACCTGCAGGACAAAATATTTGTTGTAGGGTGAAGTTTCAGGTGCCTCTGAAGCTGCTCGTCCCTGTCGAAACGTTTGTTACAAATATAGCAGCAAAATGGTTTCATGTGAAGCAGTCGGTGCTGAAAGAGGTTGGAGCGAGCTGCAAAGCGTTTGTCACACATCGTACAGGCATACGGCTTGATTCCAAAGTGAATGTTCTGTAAAACAGAAGTTAAATGGTGTAAAAGGTGCTGCTCACGATAAGAGTGACGTTTAAATTAGGTCACGCACTGCGCGCTGTTTCATTCATAAATCACTGGACTGCTCTGGGGCATAGGGGTATGACCTAATTGTAGATTATTTCGGGGACATGACAATATGCGATGTTGCAGCGTGTCGCTGTTCATTGCACCGTTCTGTGAGATGTCCCGGACGGAACAGACACACACCCCTGTGATCCAGAAGAGTCCAAGAAGCTATTAAAAAAAAAGGTCAACGTCCCAGATACCATGAACAGCACCGTATAAAAAAATTATTCTCTCACCATGTAGGTTCCAGGGCCCAATGGGGGGAGTTAAGACCCATTGCTCTCTTAACAGCATGTCATAAAAGTGGACAAATTAGGGGTGTGTCCTTTAAAGTTGGAGTGTATGTGCTTGAGAGACGAGGAACCCCCCCAGTCTGCATACAAATAGGTCGGATCTGTAAAAAGGATGTGCATGCAAAACTCTAGAACAAGACTGAAGTCCAGAAGTGGATGAACTACCAGAACTTTCTGCAGGAGTTACCAGCTGGTGAACACAAAGAAGAAGACTAACGAGAAGCTAAAGGAGAGAACTTAACAAATTCCAGTAAACAAGAAATGGAGAAAATATTCTGATATTCGACAGGATACTGTTACTGATAGCGGCTTTGGGCCTTTCCAGTGTTATACTGGGCTAAGAGCAGGAATGTGAATGAAGTTTCTCCTCTCCACAGCCAAAGTCTGGGCAGTATTGTAGAGACAATCATGATCCCTCTCTCAGCCTGGCTTGTTTACTCCAAAGGAAAGGTAACACCATTATGTTTGGAACAAAGCACTCTGCAGAAGCTGCTGAATCAAAGCAGCAGTGCTGTGTATGTCGCCTGTTGGAGATTCCTGCCAGCCAAGACAACAAAGAGCATGGTCTGCCACTGACAGGATACACTCTGTGATAAACCTGGAAACGATATAATCAGAAGGTCATGGCACTGGAAACCACATGGGGAGGGGGAGAGGGGGAAGCGGGTGGATGTGCCTCAAAAATCACACGCAAGAATTCTTAAAAGCTATATAAATCCTATCCTGATATACGGAAGTGAATCTTGGACAGTTGGTAGATTAGTGAAAACATTATTTTGAAGCTGGGGAGATGTGGTTTTATAGACGAATGATGAGAATACCTAGGACAAATAAAAAGAGTAATAAGGATGTCTTAAAAGAAACTGACTCATTAAGAGAACTGATTGCCCACATCTTAAAGAGACAATCTATATTCTTTGGTCATATGATGAGGAGAAAACTGAAGTACATCGTGACAGTAGTAAAGTTGGAGGGGAGGAGAGGCCAAGGGAAACCGAGAGAAAAGATGTTGAACAGTCTGACACCATGGCATGGAGGATCAGGAACATCTGTGTCAAGAGTTGACTGAAATACGGGGCAGAAGGTTGTGGATAGACTTGACTACCAACGCCACACAGCATTGACTTTAACAAAAAGAAGAATGCTAAGAAGAAACAAAACAAGACACAACTGACCTGATGCTCCAATAAAATATTTTTGTAGCCAAATCGCCTGTGGCAAATATTACATTCAAATGGCTTCTTTTTCTCATGGGTTAACTGGATATGTCTTGTAATGGCTGCCTTAGATACGACCACCTGGCAAGTGACATAAACATTAGAAAAACTGAAAACCTCTATCTTATTGCTATATCACAAAGATTACAATTTTACCTCATAAAATCTTTTTCTTCTTCTTCACGTTCACCGGCTGTAAACTCCGGCGGAAAGTTCTGGTTGTTCGTCCACTTCTGGACTGCAGTCCTGTTCCAGAACCTGAGTGTTGCGTGTGCATTCATTTTACAGATCTGACTCATTTGTATACAGACTGTTGGTTCCTTGCCTCTCAGGCAGATGCACTCTGACTTCAATTAGTCGACTCTTACGACATGCTTTTGGGGAGGCAGTGGGTCTGTTCTTATTTTCCCTATAAGGCCCTGGAACCCACACGGGCAACCTCATAAAATGAACTTAAGATCTTTGGTCTTGCTTTTCCCCCCATCATGTTTGCAGTGTGGATAAGTAGAGCAGAACCTCAAGATAGGAATTTAATCTGTTCCATGACTGAGCTTGTACAGTTAATAACTTATATCTTGAAACTATTATCTATATATATAAAAATCAATGTGTGTTTGTTTGCCCCCTATAGACTCGGAAACTACTGAACCGATTTAGCTGAAATTTTCAGGATATGTTTGTTTTGATACCGGGTGTTGAACCATCATGGTTTGAAATTCAACCTGTCACTGTTAGAGATAGGTGACCACAATTTAAGCCAAAATATTCAAAACTAATATTTATAACTTTAGTGATTTCTAATTATAGTAGCCATTGGTAGTCATGTCCGTCCACAACTTTCTGTTTCTGTACTTTCAGTCAACTCTGACACATGATACTCCACGCCAGGAAGAAGAAGATCATACACGTGGCAACTTATGGATGTGAGTCAAGGGCTCTTAATCCTTGGGGGGTGGGGGGATCTGAGCTGTGATGTAAAATGTTAAAAGTGGGGACACCATCCAAAAAATTGATTAAAAATAATTGTCTTAAAAGCAAATTTGAAAAAAAACTGTAGCCAGAAACAGAATATGTCACCCATTTTCTGTGTGGGAAGGAATCAACATATGTAGTTAACGCAATGGCCATGCACAATTATGTCAACTATGGTACCACCATGTTGGATAACAACCAGGTGAAATTAGGAACAGGTCCCACGTTTCAGACAGGTCCACCCCTAAGCAAGCGACAGCCCTGGGGCTTCCTGCACTCTACGGGAGGACATGGCAAGACTGTCCTCTTCTGGAGATGCTGTGAAACAACATAGATCTGATAAATATGTAGACTGACAAATAAGCTTCAAGGGAACCTAAGAAACCTCAACTGGCAAGGATTTACTGAAAAACATAAAAGATGACATGGGTACAATAGTGCCAAAGAAGAGCAATGAGCTGATCTGTAATTCTAATGATCATGTGAGACGGCAACACATTACCACCATACGCTTATCAACAGGCCACATGATGATGATGATTGAGACAAACAAAAAAATATATAAAAACTAGGAAGCAGATACAACTTACCTTCCCACACAAGGAACAAATATAGCTGTCTCCTTGTCTAGTATAGGCAATGGAAGAAATCCCTGAGTCACTGTGTCTTGAATCATGAGGCTGTTTCAAGCAGACATAAAAACTGTACACTTTTCTTTTCATCATGACTGCAATAACCATATTTTTAGGTTCGCAGTGAAACACAGCGGGAACTTCTTTATCTTCGTCTTTTGCCGTTTATTCTCAAATGGTGCACTGCCTCTAAACAAACACCAGCCAAGTCATCCTATCTTTCGCTTTTGCATGCAGGTCACCGCATATTTCCTATCTTTTTAACTTCACTCTCCATAATTTTGTTGTTGTTTTGGTCTGCCTTTATTCAATTGATCCTGAGGGCTCCAGTGCAAATAAATTCTGGTGCTTTCTTAATATCCTACTCCAAACAGGGGAAATCTACAGGTCACTGGACAGTCCAATATTTCAGGGGGTGGTAGATAGGCTGCATGCAGTCGTGGGACTTAGGTCGGTAAGGGCTGGGATTTTTTTTCACGTGGACTTGGATTTATAGTAATTCCCCCTGGTCTCTGGGTAGTGAGATCGGACGCCTGTGTGCATTGTTGAGCATGTAAAAAAAATCCCTTGGCAGTTGGGAATCGAAAAGAGTAGCCTAAAGGCGCTGCCCGGGCAAAATTTGGAGTTAAAAATCTATCCAAAGTATTTCAGGATCCTTGCCGGTGCTACAGAGTTCGTGCACTGCAAGAGATTCTTCAGACTTAGACTTGAGTTAGAAGAAGAACGGAGCACTAATGGGTTACTGCCGGTGTGCCATGATGCTGGTCTGTTGTTCAAACCTCAAATGAGATGGACCAAATATCTACAGAGTTCCAACTGGTCTACAGAAATATGTCTAGCATCAAATCCAGTTGCACCACTGGTGTCAAAAAAAAACAAAAAGGGTCCTTTACCCTTTTTTTATTAGTCTTTACAAGTACCTTTTTTTTTGCTACTGTCTTGACAAGTACCTTTTTTTTATTACTGTCTTGACAAGCAAGCAGACCAACCACAATGCCAGTACAGATCCAAGAAACCCACATCTTGAAGTGTATGAGGTGGGACCACTGAAGTGGGGCCATGTCAACCCACCCACACTGCACTACTTTTATGGTGCCCCAATATAAATACGCTTAAACAAGGGTTTTCAGGATTTGTAAATGTTTCGTCTTCTTTTTCACATTCGCCGGCTGGAAACTCTGGTGGAAATTTCCTGTTCCAGAAACTGAGTGTTGCGTGCACACCAATTTTACAGATCTGACTCCTTTGCATGCAGAATGTTGGTTCCTTGCCTCTCAGGCAGATGTACTCTGATTTTAAAAGGATGGGGTCCTGGAAACCTCACAAGGAGTATTGTTCCTAATTAGTCTACTCTTACATGCTTTTGGGCAGGCATTGGGTCTATTCTTGTTTTCCCCCCATAATGGGGTCCCAGCACCCACATGGGGATTGTAACTGTTTGTTCTCATACTCAAGTGCTGGAGGTCCGGAGTTCAGGCCTTCGTGAAGGCTGGAATTTTTTATGGTAATTTCCCCCTATCCTGGGTAGTACGATCAGATGCTTGTGTGTATTTTAGCGAATTAAAAAAAAATTTCCCATAGCAGTTGGAAATCGAAAACAGTCCAGGCAAAATTTGGAGTTGAAAATCTACAAAAAAATATTTCAGGATCCTCGCCGGTGCTACAGAGTTCGTGCACTGCGCTGAGATCCTTTGGACTCAGACTAGAACGGAGCACTTATGGGTTACTACCCTTGTGCCACGATGTTGATCCGTTGTTTAAATCTGTAAAACTAAAGCAATACCTGTGAGGAATTTTGATGAGAAAGGGATGGATGAGATGGTCCGGCCGTAGATGCTGCATGCCTTGAATAGATCGGAGAAGCTGGTGTGGACAAATGACTGTGACTGTCAGATCTATAGCCTGAATAGAATGCCAAACATGGAGTTGCATATAAGATCATTTGATTCCATGTTTAAAAAATTATGAACAGCCAAAAACAGGAATGTTACTTCTTCTCCTCCTACTGTTACCTTAGTAAAGTCTTCTTCTTCTTTGTTGTTTTCCCTGCTATTAGTTTTCAGATAAGAAGGCCATAGGCCTCTATGAAGTCTGTGATGCAATGCATGACTTTAACTGTCCCTGAGATCTTGGTTTCCAACTTTGTTTGGGCTCCTTCAAGGGGGAGGAACTGGTACTGCCCCTGCATGACAAGTTCCAACAGGTTCAACATCACATCTATCACTCATTTTCAGTCACTGCTATTACAAGTAGGAAATGCGTGTAGCTGTAGTTTTCTGGTTCAGCGACTTCAGCAAAGAGTTCAATGATGCAAAGATCCTCTGTGTGCTCATTCTAATGCGCTGTGAACTGTGATCCTCATTTCTTTAAGGTTGTTCTTAATTCTGTCACTTTACTTTTTATTTGCATGGTCTTCCTTTTGCTCTGTATTCATTACATTTCTTCATTCATATAGTTATATTCACCGTCCTTTTTAGGATGACATTTTGCGTTATTTAAAGCCTCACCCTGGCTTTTGACGGGTGTTGCAATATAGCCAGGCCATAAATATGGCCTAATGGCTGAACGTGGTTTCTGGGACCTCTCCACAGTGATCCTCATCCACATGATGGCACATTGTGTCATTGGGTGTTTATTGCTTGTGTGATGTCCTGGTGGGGTAGAAAGTCAGTCAGTCGTCATTTCTTCATTCCTGTGTGGATTCCAGGGTCCCATTGTGTATGTGTCTGTGTGTGTGGGTTTTGCGTAGGGAGTTGTAAGCACATTGTAAGAGGTGGCTAATTTGGGGCATTTTCCTTCACAGTGCATCTGCCTGAGAGGCGAGGAACCAACAGTCTGCATACAAAAAAAGCCAGATCTTTTAAACAAATGTGCATGCATACTTCAGGTTCTAGAGCAAGACCAAAGTCCAGGAGTGGATGAACAGTCAGAACTTTCTGCCATAGTTTACAGCTGGTGAGCACTAAAAGGAAATATTTCTTCAGCATGGCTCTGTCCTAATTTGTACTAGGACATTCTTGAGACAGAAGAATGGCTAAGCACTGATTAATGATCTTGAGTTTAAATTAATTTCAAGCAGAAGTTTAAAAAAAACAATTATAAACCTAGGATTTCAGGTCATCCCAACTTAAAATGAGTACAAGAAAATATTCTGGGAAGTAAAGGTGGTTGATGTGACTGACCATATCAGTCTACACAAATATGGATTTGGCACCAGATGTGCAATGTACCAATCGAGAAGGAAGGGTTCTTTCAGTTTTTTTTTTTTTTTAAATAGTTCTTTTTTAAACCTTTATGCTGCTGCTCCAGCCCTGCCTCAAATTCCAGGAAACATCCTTGCAATACTTTCACGTTCACCTGCTGTAAACTCCATTGGAAAGCTCTGGGTGTTCCTCCACCTCCGGACTATAGTCTTGTTCCAGAACCTGAGTGTTGCATGCACATCAGTTTCACAGACCTGCTTTATTTCTATGCAGACTTTTGGTACCTTGTCTCTCAGGCAGATGCACTCTGACATCAAAAGGATGGGGCCCTGGTACAACAGGTAGTATTGTTCTAAACAGTTCAGAGTTATATTTAGTCTAAGTATTTCAGTTTCCAAGACAGGAAAAACTGTTTTTTCTTTTTTTTTTTATGTGGAAGTCACTGTACCTGGCGGCGCCCATGGCTTAGGCATTGCGAGTCCGACTCGTAATCCAACGTACCGCGATCGAAACGCACTGCTGGCTGCGTGGATTTTTATCATGGTATGGCCCGTTGCAGGTCGACCCAGCTTAAAAGGGGTACTAGGATGGCTGTCCTGGGAAAGTAAAGACGGCCGGCGTAATGCTGACCACATTACCCATCCAGTGCCGATTGGTCTGTAAAAATATGGGACGCTCTTCGCATATACCCGATGCGCCTAAGGCGAGAAAAGGGATCTTTACTTCTTTTAACTGTCAACTATTTTGAATATCTAGGCTCTATAATAAATAGAAGTGGAGACTGTTCGAAAGAAATAAAAAAGAGGATGGCCACAGCAATGCAAAGATTAAACAGCATTAAAAGTCTGTGGTTGAGCACCAGCAAGGGGATCAAAATTAAAATTTTGACAGCATACATCTTAACTGTAACAACACATGGATGTGAATCGTGGACTATCTCCCAGTCCTGAAGGAAGAAAATAGAAGCTATTGAGTTGAAAGCTGTAGAAAGATTCTCAGAATAACATGGACAAAGAAGAAAAGAAATACTGACATTTAAAAAGACCTGAACATCAAGGAAGATTAGCTAATAAACAGTATATTGTCTCGGAAGCTGAAATATTTTGGTCATATCAAGCGCCACGGCGGACTGGAAAAAACAATAGCAGAAGCACGGTACCAGAAAGTAGGGGCAGGGGCCAACCAATAGGAAGATGGGTACAGGATATAAGTGACTCCTTGAATATGAAAGTGCACGAGGCGGGAGAACTGGCTAGAGATCAATTTTCTTTCAGGCAGACCGTGATGAGAGTAACATTCTGCAAAGAACCAGCTACATGATGAAATGTACCTGACAAACTTGGGTGAAGTGGTGACATGCCATGAGATGCATCATGACTTAGTGAAAGATCAGCCACTGACGATGATGATGACTTTGAAACTAAGGCGCTGAGTGCAGCAGTTTGTGGCAGCATTCCGATAAGATCATTGATGGTGCTGTTCCCTGAAGTCAACTGTTGGTGCAACTGCTGTTGCTGCTGCTGTATAGACTGGTGCAGCTGTTGAAGATGCTCATCATGCAAAAGGTCTGGGCTGGGACTGGATCCTGAGCCAGTGTGTGCTCCTGATCCTGACATTCCATGTTCGGACACGGAGAAGGGATCCATGACCAAGTCTCAAAACCCTTAATACAACAGATATAAAATAGTTAGTAACTTTAAAAAAATAATTACTTATTTTATAACAGCAATTCTCAACATGGGAGGCATTAAGCAATTTTAAAATTACATTTGTTTTTGTAATAAACTGTTATACTAACCTAACGTTTATGTTTCAGCTTAACTATGAATAAAATATGTTTTAAAACGCTACTAGTAACGTTTTCCACCAAAAACAAATGCTGGTTGGCCTTGCATTTATGTTTGGTCACTTTTCGCAGGTGCTAGTCTATGTTACTCTCACCGGCAATGTTGCATGTTCTATATTATATGATGTGACCACTTTCAACAACCCCAGTATATCTAGAACTGGCCCAAATCTCAACCCCCTAACTCCACAGCCTCAGTTCCATGAGACAGCACAGCCTGTGTCCTGTGGTTTCAAAATTGTTAATACTTTTCAGGTGGCCCTAAAATGCAAAAAAGCAATGCTGCTCTCCTTATCGCTCGTCAACGCTGACAGCCGAAGAAAATTCATGTCGTACTTGAAGCATGAGAAGGCTATAATATAAGCAATGTCGCCGGCTGCTCACAAAAAGGAGTAAAACCCAATGTGTAGCTGGCCGCTCACACGATGCGTAATATAGAAAGCTCAGAGCATAGAAGACAACACAAGGTGACGCCCCTGTAACATAGGTTAGTGCGTGTGAAAAGTCGCCAACATGAATGAAAGGCCAACCAGAGTTTATTTAGGGCTCAAAAACATCACTAGTTCCTTTAAAACTTTATAAAACAAAAAGCCAAGGACATGTTTGTTTTCATGGGCAGTCTGTAAACCTACGGTTACAAATCTAATAATTGTATAGCACAGTTCTTGTCGGGAGTCGCTTTAGCGTTGGCCAATAGATGCCTACCTGCGGATCGGAAGGTTGTGAGTTTGAGTCCTCACGGAGCCAGACTTTTTTCAAATATGACCTTGACTCCTGGGTCGACCCAGCCTTGAGTTGGTACAGGTGCGGTTTTGGGAAGTAAAGGTGGCTGGTGTGATGATGACCACATCATCCACCAAGTGCCGATAGGTCTTTAAAAATATAGGTCTAGCCCTCTATTCCCAATAAGCCTAAAGGCGTGGAAAAAGGGATCTTTACTTTACTTACAGTTCTTGTCAATGGTGCTTCAGGGTTTCATTTTGTCTTCCTATTTTTTAATCACATTTTTTTAAAGGGTTGGGGGGGGGGGGGGCATGGTGGTCCTGTCATATATTCAAGTGGGTGCCACCTGAAAAAGGTTAAGAACAGTTGTTTTATAAGAACCTTTTTATGTCACTGCTGCAGTGGACACAGGATGCTAAACTTGTATTTTCTATAGACTGACTGACACTTGCTGCCTGAATATTTTCTGGTAACTATTTTATGCTGGGTCGGCCTGGCAGCCTGAGGTTATTTATAAAATTCTACCCCAATTTAGATTCAAACCTAGGACCTTCAGTTTAAAAATAAAAACTGCTTTACAGAGCGTATTTTTGTTTTTATTTATTATGCATTTCTTTCATGACAACAATAATCCTTAATGATACTGAACTGATAGCTACAATCGGTAATCTCATTTTCAAAGGTAAAATAGTATAATTCTGACGTGGCGAATTAAAGAAGAAAACAAATTAATAATGAGCTTAAATGTTTTCACATTCTGGATTTGAAAAAAACAATGACAAACTAGCGACTACAGTTTCAACAATTTGCGGTCTTTTTGGCAATTTCCATTACCATGGAAACCGTTTGAAACTTGTTTGGGAAATGTCGGCTGGGGTTTCGGGATGGGTCCTAATCTCTCATGAAATTTTGCGATTGGTGTGATTTTCACCAGCTATGAATGGCCGAAAACGGCGGGAACGAACCCGATTAACAGCGCATGTCTATGACAGCCGGACGTCCTCAGTTTTTCTGTTACATCGGTTTGATTGAAAATAACGCTAAGTATTCACGGTTGGCTTTAAGGCCTTAAACATTGCCAATTGAATTCTCCGTTAAATTTTACATTTGTGTATAAAATGTCTTTCTTATCTGTGGCTGTTTTGTTTTACAGTGACATTTTTCATGCAATCGCTATTATGTGGCTGTGTCTGAGAAAAAATTGTCTGCCATCTTGTCCAATGAAAACAAAGCCAAAACGAAAGTTGCGCAGTATGGTTGCGCAGAGAAAACTTCTTGTTTCTCAGACACAAGTTTTAGCAGCTGTTTTTTACATCTCATCTCCACAAAAACCTACATATCTCAGCTCAGAAATGACATACATGGCTAACTGAGGAACCATTGGTGATTGGAAAGAGATTGTTTACAGCTATCTAACTGTGCTGGTTTTATTGGTGTTGAGGGCATTTTAAAAATTTGACTAAAGTACCTAGACAAACAATACAATCATAATCTCACACGATTACGTAACCACATGTACACAAAATTCAAGATAGGTGTATCAGCCATGTGCACCTGTGGAAAGAAATGTGCCCCAGACCGCAGAGCATGTACTCCAGGACTGCACCGATTTTGACACATTAAGGAAAACCTTTTGGCCAGAAAGAACAACAGTGGAACGTAAACTCTATGGACCACTGAATGAACTAACAACGACAGTGAAATTTATACAAGAGACAAAACTGCTGATATAGAAACTTATTTCAGGCGAACGAAAGAAGAAGAAGATAATCTCACAATTCTCATTCTGATATTTGGCAGATTATTTATGTTTGCCCTAGAATACAAAACTGATGTACAATTTTTAAAGGGCTGTCCATTGCAGTTTCAAAAAAGAATGTGTTAAAACAGGAATACTCCCTAACCGCTATCGCATGCCCTGACTAGATTAACTAGAGTAAGCTAAGCCAAACATTAAACTGTGACATAATAGAAATTGATGAATAAATATGTGTCGAAAATAGGTAGTCTACCCGCAGGTTTCAGCTGAACTGAGCACATTCAAAAAGTACATTAGGATCCTGCAGCTTCTGTCACATTCTTAGAACTTGTTGTTTACTGTTATCAAACTGTAAGCAATGTATGCTTTCGCGCAGCTTGTAAATATAAGAAAGCGTTAATTAGCACAAGGTACCGTATGTGCTTAATTTATTACAGTTCGCCATTATTTTAAGACCCGCCGGATGCGTTCTGCGCTGCTGTTGTGCTCAGTGTTGCCACTTTTCTTTGAAAAAAAATATCCAAAACGGTGTCAAAAAATATCTAAAAAGATCTAAATCTCCGTGGAAAAGATCTAGAAAAAACATCCAAATTGAAAAAGTCAAAAATTACATAGCTTTTGTTATGACTTACCCTACATAATCATGTCCTCACCTTCACTTATGTCTACCTAACAAGATCCACAGGATAAACTTAGCTTGGATAATGAAGTTGAAGCTTCAGGTCAAAAATGACCCTGGTATGCTTTAGCTGTTCAAATTTCTTTATAAGTGGAACAGTAGGCTTATTTCTCTAGTCTCATCAGGCCGAATTTTAATGGCACGATTACAATTGAGAGGTCAAATTTCATCCTGTTTTTTAGGTTAGATTTGATATAATTCCTAGCACTGAAAACTCTTTCTACGTCAGCATTTGAGTGGTAGTATCATGGCAGACATGACACTTTAAAGAGCTTACAGAATGGACTGTTTGATGAGGCATCTTTAAATTGTCTCACTTCACTCCAAAACGCTTTAGTTTCTGTTTTGTTTGTTTCATTACTGTACATTCCATATAGTATTTCAGCTGTGTAGCACTTTTCACTTTGTCTTGTTAATTCAAAGTGTGTCTTCAACTTCAGCCATTGCGTCATAATTCTTTCAACAGCTGGTTAAATTGATAACCATCTAGTTATCTGACAGAATTTTCAGTGGTGTGGAACCATCATGCAAGGCTGTATATAATGTATTGTATTGCTGTTGTCTGACAAATGATTTGGAAAACCAGTAAAGTGTTTTAGCAATAAGGTATTCCAAATTCCTTGGTAAATATTTAGATGAAGCATGTGATAATGCTAGCTGCAATGAATGACGCATACATTTTACAAGTATTAACGATGGGTTAGCTTCCTTTAACTTGGCATAAACGCCATTGTTTATACCAACCATCACTGAGGCATTATCCGCACCAATTACAGCCAGATTCTTCAAGCCTAACTGTTTGCTGATTAAAAGATCCTTCAGTTCCTAAACTATACTTTCTACATCACACTTTTCAAATCGAACTAGTCCAAGATTTTTTTACAAATCGATCAAATGGTCACAGTTTGAAATTGCGCAGTGACAAATTAAAAACATTGCGACTGATACTTCAACTTTTGATGATTCATTTATCAGTATAGTTATGAAAACAGATGTCAGCGGTGTAATATCTTTAAATGAAACTGCAGTTTTATGCTTTTATAGTCTCTGCATGACTCTTTTGAGTTTTGTATTTTCGCTTCAATTTCACACTTGCAGTACTTACAACAAGCTTTGGTCATATCCAAATTTTTTAATTTTGTCATCATGCAACCACTGTTTCCAAATTTTTTGCTCATACTTTACTTTTGGCATGTTGAAAGGTATTTTGAAAGTGAAAGCCACATATGAAGGTGAGCAATTATTTTTTTTTTAAATCACATGAAAAAAAAAAAAAAAATCAGCACAGTGAGGATACGGTTGAAACAAAGTTAGTATGATTTACTCGCGTTTTTATTGATCAGTACCGGGGCTGCCAGATATGTGTGCCTTGACCTCAGTAAGAGTTCAAAGTTCAAATAATGGCAGTTGTCACAATGTACGTGCCAGACCAAAACAAAAATATTGTAGTAAATATTTTACACATTAATTATTAAATTGACAATGAAAGAAGAAAAAAATCTATAAAATATCTAACTACATATGAAAAGATTCTAGAAAAATATTTACGATCTAAATGTCAAAAACAGTATCTAAATGCAATGAAAAAGATCTAAATTTGGATATAAAAGATCCAAAGTGGCAACACTGGTTGTGCTGT